GCAGGAATGGAAAAGCCTTCAGGTCCAACTAGGATGTAGTGTCATATCAGCCCCATCACTTCTCTAATTCACCAGAAAATAAGAAGCAGCTGAGCGCGAGTCTGCTAAACAGTACAATTTAAACTCAATCTGCGAAGCACGCTTCTTCATTTACTCTTCCATCTCTCAAATTTCCACTCTCTCCCCCCATGTTTCCCTCTCTCTCTCTCTCTCTGATTTACCCCACACAGAGACAGGAGCATGAAACTAATGTGATAAGCATCCTGGCCGCTCAGAGCCAGTCACACCCACTCGCTGTTCTGTCAATACTGAGATCATGAAGGGAAGTTGGATTCATTCCTTTATTTATCTTTGGAGGGGAGAGGACACAAATTGGAGCTGGAGCTGTGGTGGGAGTCACTGCCAGTGGCTCATACCTGAGTCAGTGTGACTAGAAAAATGATGGCTGGGGCTAATTGAGTTATTGGGTCCTTTTGGGCCAGACTGAGCTTTAGCATGTGTTCTACCAGGCTGTAACTGCATAGATATGTGGGAACATGCAAAGGTCGTGTTCTGGGTGTTCAGACTAGGCACCACTCATTTTAGCACAAAGACTAATAAGTGTTGCATAAACAAATAATAAATAAGTCTTGAACCATGGCCTGCTGGTTGAAAGACAATCCTATAACAAATGCTGCCTCCGAGACTCAAACCAGTTGGTGTGGCAATAAATTAACATTAGTGCTTGTTGGACTTTAATTCTAGTATTACACTATACACTCTATTTATTTACCATTATGACAGTTAGGAGATCCCCTTGTGGTCCAACATCACTTGTGTGTACATGCACTTTATGTAACTGGGTTAGAATCAACTTTCTTCAGTTACTTTTTTAAAATATCATGTAACTCTTGGCCAAGTGTACGAGTCAACCAAGTTTCCAATCTGCTTTTATAAGCAGACATGCACAAGAAAGAAAACTGCAGACAAGAAACGTCACATGCGAGTAGATAAAGGATAAAAATGGATTACACTTGCATCCCTGGATTTAAACTAAAACTAGTAACATACGGTGTCAGTGTTGGTGTTAGGGGTCAATATAAAAGTCCTTTAAGCCATTTTATTTTGTTTTCTGGTTTATTGGACAGTTGGTAGTGAAGCGGTTGGCAGGAAACAAGAGGAGAGAGGGGCAGGACATGAAACGCAGGTCCCCAGCAGAAACTGGACCATGGATGCCACAGTTATGTAGCATCCACTGTAACCGTTCAGCTACCAAGTCACTCCCAAAGAACGTTTTCCACTGTTGAACATTTGACAATTCAGACACATTTGTGCTATGAAGAAGATCTCCGCTCTGTCTGTCTTTTCTCTCACTGTGTTGTCTGCTCCAACAGAGACACACCTATAGGTATGTCTAGGATGCGTTCCAGTACCCCGCAATCATTGTAGTTACACGCATCAGCCATCCTCTATCCTGTGGTCTGCTGGGCCAGTTGCATCACAACAGCAAGCAGAAAGAGGCTGGACACATTGATAAGGAAAGTCAGCTCTGTCCGGGGGGTGATCTCTGGACTCAGTAGGGGAGGTGGGAGAGAAGAGGGTGACCAAACTGTTGGTCATTACGGACAACAACTCACACCCATTACAGAACAACTGGAGTGCCCTGAGCAGCACCTTCAGCAACAGGCTGCTCCACCAGCAGTTTTGTTGCTGCTGCCGTCAGACTACTCAACCGACCGATTGTACAACTTAAATACACTGGTCACTTTAATGTCACTGTCCCCTCCTTGTCACCACTGTCTGAACTTCACTTTCCACAAGTGGTACACACATAATTTACTATCATAGTTTGTACATATTCTTTATTATTATTATCATTATAATTCTTTTTTTACTACTATTGCACAGTTGTGCACTTGATGACATTCTAGCTTTCCATATTCTATTTTATTACTTTTATTGTTATTTTGCTCTACTGTTATTCGAATGCAGAAACATTGCTTTAAAATGTAAAAATACATTTTGTGCTTACATGTGTACAACATAAGTGCTGACTTGATTAAAATAGGAGCTGTTCTGTTCCATCAGACTCATTGGAGACACCAACTTAACTTAGCCACAACTAGAAGCTCCTTCTGAAAGAACCTGAATACAAACATCTACTCGAAGGATTCAGCCATTCTGGGCAACGTGAATCGTGCATAACTTTTACGTGAAATTTCCAAGAAGCTCTTATCACTTTAAGTGTGGATGGATACGACTGAGTCGGCTCTGCTCACCTTGCCTTGCTCCACGAGAGAGAAAAAACTGTCCACTTCCTTGTTGAAGGCTGTGATCCTGATTTCACCCTGTTGACCAACACATTTCCATTTAACCACATTTTGTTGCATAGATAAAACAGCCATGTGTGGCATATGTTGATGTGCAACAGATAGATATTCAGACCTATCTACTCCTCTACTCACACTCTCATCCACTATCTCAAAGGAGAAGAGCTTGCCGTCTCCTCTAGAGTTACTCCAGGTTCGGATACTGGACTTGCTGGTGACTCGGGCTCTGACAGCCCACCTAGAGATATACACAGGGTAGATTGTAAGAATCAATCAGCACTTACAATATATATCAGAACTTATTCACACAATATGATAATAGTGATTTTGGAAGAAAAAAAAATCCAAATACTTCAAACTTGAAAAACCTTAATTAAAACTGATTGTGATTTGCTAATAAAGAAAACACTCCCAAATGCCGACTGACCAAAATCAAAACTTTGCAAATGTTCTATCTAAAAAAAGTTACATGAACACTTTCAATCATGTTTTTCTTTCCACCAACAAATTTATTTTACAGGAAAACATACAGAACACTATATTCTGCACTTATTTAAAAAAAAAAAAAAAAAGTTTTCTTTGACCAACACAATTATGTGCAACTTAACTAAAGGAGCTGCACTTTAAAGGTCAGCACAGACAGAAAAAATGCCAAAGAGATACTTTAAAAAGCTTAACTTTTGGTTAATGAGCGTTCCAACTCAGCTCACATCAGTCATCAATGAGCAACACAACTGTGCAAAAGAACGATTCCCAAGGAAATTGCATGAGAGCTTTTCCAGTGTTGTTAAAGTTCCATGAAAATATCCAGCAACTTTCTTTTCAAAGAATGAACTAGGTGTTGTGCCATCTCCTGGATGCATTTAAAATGTGCTTCTTGTTCCGTTTTTAACAACAGACAGTTGAGCTCGGCGGTTTATGCAGCAGTGAGCTTTTTGACTGTGTTGATAATTGTGCAGTGGAGGATATTCATACTATAACTTTGCCTGCAATTAAATCCCCTATCATGAGAGCAGCTGTTGGCCCAGGGTGAACCTCATTCCCTGCGCAGTAAGGATAAGACTGCTACAACGAGGTTTATGGCAGCCAAAAGCCAATTATAGTCTGCTCTAGATGCTATTACTTAACACCAGCAGAATGGGATGAGACAGACATACAAAGTATAAAACACCATGTGCACATACACAGCATCACTATATGTAACACTTTGCGTCACACACAGACAGACACAGCTGCACTTTTCATTTCCTGTAAACATATGTAGAAGAATCACAGTTGCTGAAGTCATCTATTTTACTGCCTGTACTGTGGCTGCTCCACAACTTTAAAGTTAGAACAGTCATCAGTTTATTGTAACACCTAGAGGCACATTTATCTTTACAGCTTGCAATTTCATACAGGGCTACGTTATCAGAGCACAAACATGGAGAGAGAGTTGACAGGATAGTTTTATTCTAATCTGGACAACTACATCTTCCATGCTCTTGTCTTTTGTGGCCGACTATAATGTCAGAGACAGAGACGTCATCTAATGAAATGATAACAAGTGGGGGGGGGGACAGTTGTAAAATGGAACCCTGGAGGAGGTAAGCAAAATGTGACAGGGAAGGAAGGGGAAAAAATATGGCTGGTCAAGGAAGGGTAAAAAATATGGCTGGTCAAATCCCCACCAGGGCAAATAACAGGATCAAAACCTCAGCAGCAGACCATAAAGACCCAGTAGTACCTGCCATTAAAGTGTCTGTTTCTGAGGCAAGGGCAGTCGTTTCATTTCCATGCAAATGGGCTACTCAGGAATGGCAGCAAACAGGGAAGTAGAAGCACAGCATGAGAGCAAAGTATTCAGTTCACTTTTTGCACACTTTATTATGCTACAGATTTAAATATAAATGGATGGAAGCCCCATTTTTCAATGTCTACTCAATAACCGACACTGACAAAGTAAAAACAGAAGTTTACAATTTTTATGCAACTTTATTATTATAAAAAACTGAAACCTCTCATTTAGAAAAATATTTACCGTGGCACTGTAGATTGAGACTTGACTGGAGTCCATCTGTAGCTAAGTGAACTGACTGAACATAGTTCAGAAAGGTACAGACTCAGGTAAATGCAATCCCACAATTCATCTTGCATGTCAGAACAAAAACTAAGCCATGAATTCCAAGAAACTCTATATGTAGACCTCTGTGATAAAATTGTGGTGAAGCAAGGATCAGGGCAGAAGTATAACTCCACTTCTACAGTTTTGAATGTTCCCAGGAGCACAGTGGTCTCAATAATTGTGAGAAGGAAGAAGTTTGGAACCAAGATAATTCTTCCTGGAGCTGGCCATCCACTCAAAATGAGTGCAAGAAGGGTGTTGGTCAGGAATGTAAGCAAGAAAATGGTCACTCTAACAGAGCTTCAGAAGTCCTCTGCAGAGATGAAAGAAGGTGCCAGAAAGACAACCATCTTAACAGCTCTCTTGTCTCTGTGGTAGAGTGGCTAGAGAGAACCCCCTTATATGAAAGTCCTTGAAGAAAAACTGCCCCAAAATACACGTGACCTGAGACTGGGGGCAACAGTTCAGTAAGATAATGACCCAAAGCAAAAAGACAAGACAATGATGGAAAGGCTTCAGGACTAGTCTCTAACTGTCTGATGGAGGTTCAGAGGATCTGCCAGAAAGAACAATAATCTGAAGCTGTAACTGCTGTCAAAGGGGCTTCTACAAGTACTAAATGATTCGATGAGTTTTGTAAGTGAGAGCTTTCATCTTTTTTTAGATTTTTAAGTTTGCAAACATTTCTAAAAATATTTTCATTTTGTCATTATGCATTATTGAATGTAAATTTATGGCCAAAAATGGCTATGTTAGCCATTTAAAATAAACTCTCCAACACAACAAAGTCTGCAAAAGGGACTGAATAGTTTCTGCAGCGACTGTAGTTTAGACACTAAATGGGCAGAAGGGGAAAAGTGAAAAAATGCTTGCAGTACAGAGTTTACCTGGAATGAATACAAATGTACGTCTGGTTTTGTAACAATTCACAAAAAAATGTAATTGTTTCTAATTCTCTTACAGATACATGTATGGTAAAGCAGGCCCATGTAGACATACTGTAGACAAACACACGTAAACTTACTTGCTTTGGTAGGGGTTGAGGTTAGCAATAGGGATCACTTTTGGTGTGGAACCTGGGGAAGCGCTGGTAGCCTTCATGGGCGACACCTTTTTGGGGGTGTACTTCATGGGGGACATCTTTGTAGGTGAAAACTTCATGGGCGACACCTTTTCGGGTGTGAACTTCATGGGTGAAGTCTTCATGGGGGATGCCTCTGCAGGTGAAAACATCACGGGCGACACCTTTTTGGGCGTGTACTTCATGGGGGACGCCTCTGTGGGTGTAAACTTCACAGGCGACACCTTTTTGGGCGTGTACTTCATGGGGGACGCCTCTGTGGGTGTAAACTTCATGGGGGACGCCTCTGTGGGTGTAAACTTCATGGGGGACGCCTCTGTGGGTGTAAACTTCATGGGGGACTTTTCCACAAAACCTCTTCCACTGCCTTGGGGAGCATGGACTTCTGGGAAACAAAGTGAAGCACTTATAGGAAAACTCCAAATGAACAAGATGGCAATTTAATCATGCTGATAAATGAGTAAATTATTAATCATCAGAGATCAACAACAATCTTGGTAAATGAATTATCACCCAAGTCATTTATCAAGACAATGACCAAATATTTGCTGGTTCCATCTTCATCAAGCAAAACAAAACACTGTGACGATGTTGCCTCAGTCTGTGGAAAATTGTGATGGACATATTTCACTATTTTTAACCTTTGTCTAAGCTAGTGTACAGTACATACTATAGGTACAGATATACCACACATTCTTCTTCCTTGTCAAAATGTGGGACTACATTGCCCATAATGCAAACTGACCACCAATGATTTGGTTGAAGATTTGGATTGGTGATGCTTATAGAGACTAATGTAGCCTCAGCCCACTAGCCTCTAGAGATGAGGAGTGAGCTATAAAGGTCTGATAACTTTCTTTCTTTCCAAACAATTAAAAATTTGTTTTCTCAAACTTGTCTTCAGACCCAGCTGACCCTGACTCAAGTGACATTACCTGATGCAAATTTTGTGCAGGTTCCTCTGGGGCCACATAAGAATTTACACAATTCTTTCCACATATGCAACATCTTTAAGTCTTGTAAACAAACTTTGGTGTGAAAAATTGTTCCCACTGAATTAATGTCTCGATCAATTTTATTTACAAATATGGCAAAAGTAGCATTTCAATAATCTTCTTCATTGAAGTTCCACACACTGCAAGACATCTGTTACCTCAAAGTACATGTACAATATGTCTATAACAGCAACTGATGTTGATGTCAAGTTTCAAAAAATTGGTTACTGTACAGTTATCTGATCATATGAGCAGTGCTAAAATGATAAAACGCCTGAGAAAGTTAAACCCTCCAAACAGATCTCTCTGTAGAATTACTCAATTTTCTGTTATCAGTTTGTGCCAATGAATTAAACTGTTTTCCCTTTTGGGTAAGAGTGTAAAACAATTATTAATTTTGTAATTATTGTACTGTACTTTTGCCTTTCAATCAGAGGAAAGAGGACAATTAGGATTAGCCATTAGTCTTACAGCCAAAACACTAGACAAATCTGTACTAGTAGGCTCATATTAGTCTTAACCACAGCCATGCACCAGTTATTTTATAATTAGTGTCAGTGAAAGACAGAATTCAGTGGGTATTTAAAAAAAAAGCATAAGTGTTTCTAATAGACATTTTTTGCACACTTTATGTTGTAACTTTAATCTGAAATGGATTTTAAAAAAAAGCCATTCTCCCCCGACTGACGTTAAATAACATAATGCCAAAGTAAACATTTATTTCTTTCCCTCTTCCAGGTAGATCCTCACAAGCTCCATCACATTGGACTGGAAGAGTCTGAACTGTCATCTTCAGGTCTCCCCATAGATGTTGTGTGGGCTTTGGCTGGGCCACTCAAGGACAGTCAGACACTTTTCCCAAAGACACTCCAGCGCTGGCTTGGGTCATTATCACGCTGAGGGGTTGAACTGTCGCCCTAGTCTCCGACTGTGAGCGCTCCTGAACAGGTTTTCATCACCTAAACCTCAGTGTTAATTTTAGCATCAGATTTTGATTTCATTTTACAAAAATGTATTTTAGCTCTGGTCAAAATGTAGTTGTTTGGTGCGACTATGAATGTGGTCCTCAAGAGCCTGCATGAAAACCTACGTCACCATCCCTGTTTTTAAACAATATCATCTACCTGCTCTATGACAGCTCTCTTCTCACTCTGCCTTCAAGCGTGGCCTGTTAAGAATAACTGGTCAGACAGAACATGGGATGAACTACTAACCCAACCCATTTATAAAGTCTTATTAATCAAGCTGAACATTTTAAAAACACAGCATGCTGTCCTATGATGAACTGAGTGTCTATGTTTATATAATTTCTGTTACGATTCGGTGTGCAAACCTAAAACATCTCACATGCAAAAAATAAATAAATCACCTATCAAAAAAAAAAAAAGAATAAGCTCCCTTTGTCTCAAACAATTGCTCAGAGCTCTTATAATCTTTGGCAATGTCATTCTTCAAATGCCAGAAAACTTGAACAGTTGGGACCAGCCCACAGAATCACAAGGTGTTATCTCACTTCCCACAAAAAAGTAGCATCAGCCCCATCAGCAGTGATTCAGACTCGATAATTAGTGGTTGTCAAAATATATTTTATGCAATGCCTCATTTTGGCATGAATGATCGGACATATAAGACAACGGCATTTTAGGAGAAGGACTGTCAAGGATAAAAATTTGCAATTCCACAGAGACCACTGATTTAAGCTCCTGTGTTGGAGCCCAACAAATCCTTACCACTATGCTGCCTTCCTCTGTGGGCGTGTACTTCTCTGTGTGCGTGTGTATATGTGTGATGGGCATATTCCATGGGGAGATGGCAGGTTGAACAGCTATTTTCACGCAAGGGGTAATTAACATCAATATTCATACCCACTGTATCTGGATGGAGTATTAGGGGGAAGTAGCTAGTGGCAAAAGAAGAGAAAGGAAGATGATAGGTGGTGGTGGTACGGTCAGGTGAAGGTGGCTGAAGAACAGAGCAAAGAAAGGGGCACGGAGGTTTATCAAGGAACCTCATTTTTTTGTGATTAAGATCAGTACAGGCTCCTAATATGTATGCCAACAATGTATTCAACAGCCTGTTTGTAAAAAGTGCCTGGTGATGAAGGCAATGTAGGAAGAGAGAAAGAGGAAAATATACAGCCAAGAAAAAAAGACAGTGAATAGGTAAGCGAGTGTGTAAAAGTGTGTGTACGTTAATGAGAGATGGAGAGGAGAAGAGAGACTTCTTAGGACAAGGGAAACCTGCAGAGAATGTTTTTTTAAATGCACTTCAGCAAGTGTAGACCTCTTTTTAGAATTTAAATATCATGTGCAAAGCAGTTTGAAGGCAGTCTATTTTAAGTGATATCTGCCGATAAATATTTAAATGGTAACAGACCTCTTGCTGACTACTGTGTGATGACCCCTTGACTCTACAGCTACGGTTAAAAAAAAAAAAATCATTACTTTAACTTGAGATTATAAAAATTGTGATGAAAATGTAGATGTTTTAGAGATTTTCTTTTTGAGGAAGTATGCCACTTTTGAGTGACATTCTCAAATACTTAAGTGCTCAAAAAACTTTAAATTAATTCTACAAACTCTTATGACACCAGAGAAAAATCTTCTCTGACCACATCCTCCAATTACAAGGATGTCAGAGGTCACTACAGATGACAGATGCTTTTCATTCGACTAATTCCACATCCTCCCGTCCTCCCTCTGTTGACCTTGAAATTGATCAAAGGATGTTGACCAGGGATGTTCTGATACTTAAATGCATGTCAGGGAAGACAAGTAGTAAGGAGGAGTGAGGAACCACGGCTCCTGTAACACAATTTCAATCGGAATCTGTTCAGTGACTGGTCAGCTGATTTGATAGGAAAGTTAAGAAGCAAGCAAATGGACCGTTGTAGAAATAGCAGTACTGTAATATTTTTACAGTACTGCAGATTGAGCAAAGTACCTACTGAAATGTTTTTCATGTTTATCCAAAACACACTGATTAGAATTGTTTAAACTGAATCATGCATGAATCACTAAAAAAAAAAAATGTTTTCTTCAGCAGCCACAGATATTTTTTATTTCCTTTTCTGCTGTAAGCATATCTTGGCTCATTCAGGGAAAATGATTGTCCTAACTAGCTGATCAGCGGGGATTGTTATTTGTCCAACAAAATCGAGCCAGAGCCTGAAAAGTAAGGACATACTGTACCTGCAGCCTTCACAGAAAAATAACAGATTTTATTTTACTATTCTTGTTATTACTCCTACATTCCTTTGTTCTATTATTTTAATAATAAAAACTTGTTTATTCATCTACTGTTAATAATGGTTAATTGGGCTCCAACTGGCAGTGGAGCAGCAGTCATTAGCTATCAGGTCATTTCTTGAAATTCATATTGAACTACCGTATTTCTACATATTATGGGACAGTTGAGAAGCTATGTGTCATGAGTTCTGGCCATCAGGTGTAAGCTCTCTTTTGCATCCCCCTTAAAAGCTAAGAAATTGGGAAGAGACGAGTACAAACAAGGCGTTAGCAGTTATCAAATGAAAGTGCCCAGGGATTCAATGTGCTGCTTAAAGACTGAAGTCTCTACAGAGGCTTGAACCCAGACACTCTAATAAAACAGCAGACTCCTTAGTCATTATATCAGCCAACGCTCTTGGGTAAAACTTTATTCGTGGCATTTAGCAATTTTGTGAATGCACACAAATGTATTGATTTACAAAAAAATATTGGAAAGTAATCAAACACTGAGCCATGTGAAGTAGGAGAAAACAGTGAGACTTTTTGCATAAGACTTGATTTTGGCTCTAAAGAGTAATGCAGGCGCATTTCATCAACAGAACAATTAAAGAGAGCAGCAGGTTTTCTGTATCTGGCAAGATCTCTGAGGTAATATGGATCAAAGGATATAATGAGGAAAAGAGTCTGATGAACTACTTAATGCGGGGCCCAGTCCACAACACAATATTCATGAAGTCATGAACTGAAGGAGCCATCGGCCCACACAAGCTCCCTCAGTCACCACGCACACATACAGATACACACCTACACTCACACAAACACACAAAAAATACCAAGTGCTCATTATCCACCCACATGCCCACATCCTCCACTGAAGAGTACTACTGGGTATGTTTCTGCCACATAAAAATCAATGTCGACGCTGAGAGCAGTTGGTGGTATAAAATAACTGAGCGAAACAAAGGCTAAGCTAATAAAAGAAGAGCCAATAAATCACAGGCTACTTCAGATATGATATATGGCACCAGCCATTTTGGCAGGAAACCAACCATCTTTTGGGGTCCTATTCTGATATAAAAACTGGTTGGTGGTAAAACAGTGAAAGGAGTTATGGACCACACCAGCCGCAGTGGTCAATGGGCAACAAGACAGTTTCCTATGCAATAGCTGTGCAATAAGCATGATAAATGTGCACAATGTGATATGAAAAAAAAAAAATCAGCTGAGCTGAAGGAACTGCAGTTTCCATTAACTCCACATTTCTTGTGGTTGCATTATACTGGCTGAAAACCATGCTGTAATCTGTCATCCTTTTGCACCTGGTTCTTATCCCACACTCAGGCTGGAGGCCTTTGAGCATTGAATGCTATAAATATCAAAAGGAAAGAAAACCAAAATTTGCTATTTAGTTGATGGGGTTGGTTAAAGTGTGGTAAATGAGACTAAAAACGAGCAACAAAGATGCTGCTGGTCCCATATTACTGATGTAGAACAGTAATGCAAGTGCCTCAAATCATTCATCAGCAGCCTTGCTTTAAAGGATATATGGCTCCCTCTGCTGGTGAGATTATGTTTTCAAACTATTCAGATTTCGTCTACTGCTCCATTCTTACAAAAGCACAACACATGAGTTAATGATGGAGGTAAACAAACAGAACACTCATGTTGATATCTCAGACCAGAAAATTAACTCATAAATTTGGTTTGATCCTCTTTAAGCAGTACCAAGAACTTCTGACCTCTGTAATTGTAAACAAAGGTTTCTGTACCAAATATTAAGTTCTATTTTTCTATTGTATCAAATACTTATTTGCCCCACTTTATACATCATGAGTTCCTTGAGCACAACTCCAACAAAAAGAATAAATTCAGTGACTTCTAGTAGAGGAAACTGTATTTAGGTTAAGTAAAGACCTAAAGGTCAGTAAATCTAAGCACTAAATAAAGAAAAAAAGAGCTTGTCTCTATTTATGTGGCATTTCATTTCTGTAAACTGCTCAGCAAAATAGCAGTGTTTATCTATAGCACATTAATACCCATGGACATAAACATTATTTGTTTATGCATCTCTCTCTTGAGATGGAAAAAAATCCATCCAAAAAAACTAAAACAAAAACAAAAAAACAAAAGATCTCATGAACAAGAAAATCGTATAGCCAAAAGAATGAACTTGTATGTAAAATCTTTAGAATGACACTCACTGCTGTTGTTTTTATAGGAGGGCCCGGGATTGGCAGCAGGTGGAGGTGATGCTGAGACAGAGGTGCTTGATAACAAATTCTCTGAAGCTGACATCCTACCTGCAAATTCAATTGTGAACATAAGGTTGTCGGAATGAGCTTTTTTTTTTAATTAGTCTTTCTAACATCATGCATGCACATTTTAAAAGAGCCATCATACTCTCTGCATTATACGGAGTAGGATTTCCAATCTTCCTTCCAGCTTCCTCAGCAGACTGCAATATCTCCATGTCTGTCACAACTACCACACGCCTGGAACCCAAGTGGAAGATATATGAGGGCAAAGGAGATTACATTCAGCAAACAGAAAGAAAAAAAACTAAGAAAAAAAACAATACCTGCCATCTGCCAATGTGCTGGTGATGGTCTTCTTCAAAATACACACACAGTTTGGTACCAGGAGGTTATTTTCTGGTAGATGGTTTAGCTGAGTGGCCAGCAGGAAGGCTGCACACATAAATCCAAATATGTTCAGGTACATCTACATTACTATCTTCTGAGAATCTTCCAAAGCTCAACTACTGTATTTATAATTCATAATATTATCCTTGTTGGAGCACAGGCATGTCTGTCAGTCTGCTGCCAACACACTAGAGATCATTCAGTGCCTTAGCAAGCCAAAACCACAGTGTGAACATTTTCTGGTTACAGCAAGATACTCACAAGACAAAGAGTGCTGACCATCACTCATTGCGAGTCGGAACCTGGGTGGGCCTGATGTATTAGTGATCTGGCACTTCTTCTACCAAACACAAATATAGAAGGGATTCACAAGCAAAACGACAACAATCTAAAGTCTCTGGATCATCACGCTGGATACTGGAGAGATGACAATTCCATGAGGACTTATTAACATAGTTAAGTAAATATTACAGGTCATAATTTTCATATAATTATCTTTCACCACATAAATTCTGAGACTTTTATGTTATATTATTTGATAGTAAAAGCACAGATAAAGACAAAAAACAGGGAGGGAGAGAGAGGTATGACATGTTAACAGAGGTTACAGTATGTGATGTGTTGTTCTTCTTTCCATAACCTGTTTCTCATTTATGATATTCTAATATGCTGTTCACATAGTATGAATTTACACATATTGTGACAGCAGATTTGACATGGCTGGATTGCTTGGTTAAAATGGACTCCTTAAATTCACTTACCAACAGCTGCAGCACGGGAGTGTCCACCTGCAAGCCATTGTGCAGGGCCTAGGTAGAAACACGCAGATTTATTGGTACATACTATGTGGACCCACCCTGTCTCACTCCTTTACCATGCTGCCAATGCAAGTTCCAATTTAATATTATTGTAGATTACCATTAGACCCTCTTATCAGCTCTCTGGACCCCCAAAAACACTGGGGAGGCTTGACCAAGCAAGATTTTATTTTGTCCACTTAACTATGGCGTTGTTCTAAGACGATAATGTAACTGGGGGAAAAAACATCAAACATGCAGTCTTTTTATCGCGACATAAGCAGAGGGGGTAAAACAAATTTAAACATGCTGATCTGTTAATGCAACCGTAAATAGAACTGTGAGGCTTTAAATAGCCTATCATTAGTACTCAGTGCTAGCATCCTGCAGCTAGTAGTGCTACATTAATAAATATCAGCCTCAAGACATAAAGTCATTCAAAGGAGAAACAACCATTCGGTTAAATTACTATTTATACTTACTTCGATTGCCCCCTCTGTGAGTGTTACACTCATGCCTCTAGGATAAAGTTGTTTCTCTTCTCACATACGTAAAATACGCTAAAGGTATGAAACATATCGCGAGAGAAAAGATGCGAACGAGATTAGAACGACTCTGCTATGTCAATAAAACGTGAACAACACCGGATATGACACATTTGTCCCTTCAAGGTAAAGGAATTAAAGGAGAACTTTTTTTTCAGAATCTGAATCAGAATCTGCTTTATTGGCCATGTGTGTCGGACACACGAGGAATTTGACTCTGGTGTATGTACATATCTCCATGCAAGGGGCAAGTAAACAGTAAACCAACATAAGGCCGTGTAAGATAACAAGATAACAGTATATTTAAAGGTATAACTAGTACAAGCAGGGTGTAGTTATTGAGGTGATGGTAAAACTAAGCACCCAGGGCCCCACCATGGAAATGGCCCTTAAAAAGTCTATAATTAAATGTTTGTTTTTATCTGTCATTTTAAAATGTTGTGTGATTAGCAACAAATGGTGTCATAATAAATAGTTAGATTTCTCATATTCAAAATATTATTATATTCTGGCTCTTTTTAGTATAATGGGCCAGCAGGTACTAATCCTGCACTCTCTGTTTTATAACTGGATTTGCCCATTTATGGATTGTTCCTTTAGGTCTCAAAAACTTGCAGTTACAACAGACTGGGCTAATACTTGTTGGAAGGGTTGGAAGTCAATTTAAATCACATATAAAAATCTATTTCAGCTTATTAAGCTGTTGTCTTTTATTATAAAATATGCTTATAGTAGTTTTTTACACTGGGGCCAGATGGCTTCCTGCCTTTTCCTGATACTAAGGACACATGCATAATAAAGAACTAAAAAAAGAAAAAAGAAAATAAAGACAAAAGGTATGATGTCATAAAATACAGTAGTTAATCCTAATACCTACTACAGATGCATGATTTTATTTGCACCAGCACAACAATGGATGTAGCTCAAACGGGAAGGGGCCCCACATACATTATGTAAAAGGTATACAAGGACTAGATTGTTGTGCTACATCACATTATCAAAGCAATTTAATGAGAACTCACATTACTGTAAACTCAAATGGCTATCATTTCTTTTTAATGTAAACTGTAACCTATGTTACACACATATAAGGCAAATGGTTAAATAATTAATCATTATTTAGAATTATGGTATTCATTAAGTAATTTCAATAATAGTTGCTCTCCTATGAAACAGCTTTTTAGAGATAATCCAATCGGTTTTATTAGGTTTGTTAGCCTTAAAAAGAACGTTTTGTCCTCATCCATATTTGGGGTCCACATAGGTTTAGACGGTACCGATTTTATTGTGAAGGTTCATGTCGAAAACTCACTTTGTGACTAGCGCCAACTTAACATCTGTACTGTGCTGCAAAGAGGAGCGAAGCGGACCCGAAATAAATCCAGAACTTCTGTCCGGTGCACACGAGGTTTCGTGGTACCTCAGGATGGATCTTCCGTGCGTCCAGTGGCAAGATCACGTTACACAGAAATGGGCCGGACTCGACCTCGAGTTAAAGGAGCGTTTTACATCCCTGCTCGACATTGATGATGTTTTTAAATGTGCCCTAACTCTGACAACGTGAGTAGCCCGATACAACGACTGTAGTTTGGTACTAGTGGATTCGAATCATCTGTTTAGTGTAAGGCCACAGTTTATTATCCAACTAAAGGTCTTGGGGCCATTAAACTAATAAAACATAGGCTACTGTTTTGATCAACAATGAGGGGACAGTGCACTAGCTGACTGAAGCACTTATCTATTAGTCACTTGTCCAATGTTGTCCATGTTATTTGGCAGTAAAACCAGGCTTCGCTGATAATGATCCTAGGGGACAGTTAACAGGCCCCTGGTGTGGCTGTTATGACAAAGTGTTTCTTCACTGTATTGTTTAATGGTGTCTATATCCGTTTCCCAGTCAAGATGATCTGGACGTTCTGCAGTCAGTCTCTGCAGGATACTTAGTACAGAAGGACACAGAGCAAGCAGTCAAATGCAGGGAGAGGGGTAACTCCAGCTTCAAGACCAAAGACTACACTGCAGCCGCTTTACACTATTCCCAGGTAAAGTGAAAATAGTCTTATCTGGTTTAATAGGAGTGTTAGCCACAAATCAGAAACAATCCCGTATAAAGATTGAATAGACCTAAAAGTTCATCAAAATACCACCTAGCTTTAGATTTATTATTTATGGTGTCACGAAAGTGTTATTTTGTTCTATTAAATTGTCTAGTTGATGTATTTGACAGAAAAGGGCTGAAACAGTTATTTTGAGAGCAGCAGTCTAAAATTGCATTTGGGATTATACAACAATATGCCTTGAACACGACAAGCCTCCCAGTCATAATCAGTACGCATCCACATCCAGCTTCTCTGTCTCCTGTCAAAACAGGGTGTATGTTTTGCTCCCCAAAGTTCGGAGCAGCTGTCTCTGTGCTACGCCAATAGGTCTGCAGCGCTCTACCATCTGCAGCACTACCAGGTGAGATGGTGCCATCTTCCACAATGAAATGAGGCATTGTTGTACTTGCGTTATTAAACCAGTTCGGCTTCCTTATTTGCTGTCGGAAAATGGGCTTGTAGAGGTTTCACAGTTTGTGTCATCATTGTGTGGTCAGTCTGAACTACTCTTGACTGCAGGAAAATTATCTTTTTTTTATTACATGTAAACATTATCCTCACATGCTTAGCATACTGTTTATACTAAATATGCAAATAGCTAATTGCAAGTGCACACAAATAAGTACATTTATAATCATGTGTCAGGGTGTTTACTTTACATTGACTTTACTAGGTTGACTCATCAAGTTTGAAATGTCTAGTTATTTTTGCATGAGTTTCAAGTTGTTCCAGCTTATCTATAATTGCTGTTGTAGTAGCTCTAGGTGGTCATCGCAGCACTGTTTAGTGTCCCACTGAAATTACTTTAATGTTCCTTTCTCAGTCTTCTCAGGTCAGTATCTTCTGGCTTAGGTTTCATTTCATTTCGGTTCACTTCATTTGTATAGCACCAATTCACAACAACAATCATCTCGGGGCACTTTACATAATCAGGCTACACTGTTATAAGGAAGACCCAACATAGCACTCAGTTCTAGATTTCAACATTTATAGCTAAAATGTTGACTTTTTAAGTTAGAAAATGTCAGTCATCTTTATGTGTTGCTTACAGTCTTGGATTTTGTAGTGGCTCACACTCCATTATTCCTGAAGAGTGGGTACCCCTCTCATCTTTTACACAAACTAGAGGAGCGTCGCATACAGTGCTGCAACCATCTCTCTGCAAGTCAGAAGGGAAAAGAAGATCACAATCCTGCCTTAAAAAACCATAAAGGTCAAGAGAAAGTAAAAGCACCATCTGATGGACCTTTCACATTTGGAATCGGCCCTAAAGCTGCTGTTGGCTTTAGCCCAGAGAAAGGTCGACACCTGGTGGCTGCAGAGAGATTGGCAGCTGGGGAGGTGATCCTTAATGACAGGCCATACAGCTGTGTCCTCATTCCAGGAATGGAGGATCTGAAAGGGAAAGGAGCAGAGCTAGACACAGAGAGAGGAGTGTTTGGAACAGAGCACAGGCGCTGTCACAGGTGTCTGGCCGAAACACTGCATCCTGTCCCATGTGATGGATGTAGTTATAGCCGATACTGTTCAACTGGCTGTCAGCGGGAAGCCTGGGAGGAACATCACCACTGGGAGTGTCCACTGGGAGCAGATCTGATAGTGTTAGGTGTGATGTCACACCTTGCTCTGAGGGTAACGCTAAAGGCAGGGTTAAAAAACATCCAAATGGCCAGGAAGCCAATCAGTAACCAGCACAGGAAGTCAAAGCCAGGCCATTTTAACAGAGAGTCCAGTGATTCCTCTTCATGTCAAATAAACCAATCTGATCCTTCTACTTCATACTACGGTGACTCTTACTCTAGTGTGTTTCACTTGCTGCACCACCTGAATCACCACAGTCCTGGTCTGCGTTTCCTGTGTGCTGTTACCATAGCAACACTCTACCTAAAGCTCAGGAAAATAGGACCTCCACCTGCATCTTGGGCCCTCAGTAGACTCACAGGAGTAAACAGCCAATCAACAGAGGAGGAGGGAAGCTGGGGCTCGGAGCTGTGGCTGCTGGGAAGTGCAGTTCTGAGGCACTTCCTACAGCTGAGGTGCAACGCCCAGGCAATCCTCACACTGCAAGACACAGGTGACTCTTTTACAGATTTCACAAATGTTATTTCTGTGTTTCAAATATAGCTTTGTCACAAGAAGAAATATGCCAGAAACATGAAAGCAGTTTGCCTTTTAATCTTGAGCAGTGACTCAATGCAGATTTTTAGTGAATCAGGTAGAAAAAGAGAAGGGTGACACCTAGAGATGCTTCCACAGGCAGCACAACAAAAACCAAACATATTTTCAGAAGATAAGGCAATTTTTTAGCTCTGTAATGTGGTCATAGTTACATGACTATGTCTTTTTAAAATGAGTGAAAATCCAGTTTTTGTTCTTCTTGTTTACACAAGAACAACAAAAATAATGTTCATTTTTGGTTACTTTGTCAATTCTTTTCTGTAATAACCCATCATTTGGCCTAAAACCAGAAAACTAGAAACCTTAACATTGTAGATCCAGTGACTTCAGGACATTTTTGTTTAAAATTGGCTTTAAAACTATCTAAGATTTTGATTAAATTCCCTGATAATCAACTAATGGATTAATCGATTCAGCTCTCCTGTAATTGTGTCCATGCCTGTACAATCTACTATAGATGAATTGGGGCAGTTTTAATAACTGCATCTTCTTCTGTAAATGTCCATTAGTCATGTACTGACCTTTACCTTCTGTTTTTTTTTTTCTTCTCATCTCACAGGAGCAGCAAACTCACCAGTGCAGTCCAGCAGGGAAATCTGCATTGCTACGGCGATATTTCCAACACTCAGTCTTCTGAATCACTCCTGCTATCCCAACACCAGCCTGGTGTTTAACACTGGAACTGGTACCCATCTTTCTGGCTCATACTGGGCTCCAGACGTCACTGAGAGTCGAGCTGAGCGCAGAAGCACAGCCCGCAGAGTCACTATAACTGTCAGAGCATCCAAAAATATCACTGTTGGACAAGAGATCGTGCACTGCTATGGTAAGAACAGGATTATGAATATTTGAACTACGATCACTTTACTTTTCAGAACAGTGGATGCAAAAGAAGATTAAGATTTCGAGAGACAGTAGTGCAAGGCAAAAGAGAACCTTGCAGGTACAGTGTCAACCATACAACTGTTTTGTTATGTTGTTAAAACATAACTTATTTATACTCTTGCACGAGACTAGATATCACCCAGGAAATGAACAAAGAATGTTTTTAGGTATGTTCAGTGATTCTTTTTGTTAAAAAAATTTGTCAAAGAACAAATAATTATCCCTAAAATATTTGTAATATTATCAAGGGAATATGAAGCATTGCAGCAGCCTCTATTGAAATCTGTTTCTCTCTCCATCTTGTCATTTTGTTCATCTTGATTTATCTATAGATTATGCTGCTATAACCAACCTCTTGTCTCTTCAGGTCCTCACAGCAGTAGGATGGCCTCTCAAGAACGCCAGCGTCTCCTGCAGGAACAGTATTATTTCTTATGTCAGTGTGAAGCCTGCACACTGGCCCAGGAGGAGGCTGAGGGTACAGAGGGCCAACTGCAGCAGCCGGTTGCTGGAGATAGCCGACACGACTCTGGCCTTCTATGTGGCAAGTGCAAAGGATCTCTCAAAGTATGTGTGAATTAGTGTTATAAATATACATGGATAATTCCTCTTTTGAGATGTACCTTACTACTGTTGACGCTTCCACTGTAATAATTTGAGGCATTCTTTCCTGACTTTCAGAAAAGCACTGAGGACAGAGGAACAGGATTTTTATGTTCACAGTCATCCTGTGGTCATCGTATGTCTTCATCTGAAGTGAGCCACAGGCTGCAGGAGGTCAGGGTCAAACTGGAGAAAGCTGTGGATCTCATGGAGACAGAGGGGCCAGGTAAGAAAATGTACCATACTTCAAATGCTGACACAGTTTGCAGATTGAGTAATGCATCATAGTCATTTGTTCAGAAGGTCTTTGTTAGATCTTCATGTTATTCCTCTGCTCTGCCTTCCCTCAGATAAGGCTCTGAGACTGCTGAAAAGGGTTTACAGTCAGTCTGGATTGATCCTGGCAGAGACACACCCTCTACAAGGGGAGTTGGCTGATGCCATAGCCAGAGCATATGCTACAAGGGGTGAGAGGAGATTTAGTATGTACTGTACATGTGTGGTTAATACACATTGTTTCCTGTGCTGTCCTGAGTGCCCATGATGGTCCCAACCAAAGGTTTGACAAGCTCATTAATGGTAAACATGCATCTCTATTGAACATTGGGATGTCTATCAATCTGCATAGATTTAAGAGTAAGTCTCTATTCAGGTGCAATAAAAGCTGTTTTTCAGTTACGCATCTCTTTTTATGGACAAGAGCAATGTGTAAAACATTAATATAAATAAAATATTTAACATATAGAAGAATAAAAAGTCCATAATATGACCAAAAATGACACCGATATTCTTTCAACAAATATACAATGGGATTTAAACCATTTAAACTAAGAAAATGTTCGATTCCTTGATCATATTAAGCTTTCTTAAAAAATAAAAGGCATGTTAATGGAAGTTTTAGCTGACTGGTTCTGATGCACTTTACCTTTAATGCATCTCCTTATTGATTGGTTAAGTTAACACATGCTTCTAGAGTGCACTGTGGTTCTAAAAACCACAGTGCACTCTGGGGGTTTTTAAGGCTTAGCATACTGTATGTGTAAAGTGCTGGTGAGCAGAAATACTCAACAAAATACTGTCTATCAAACAGCAGAGAAGACCATTAAGAAGGAACAGATGAACCTTTCATACCACAACTGGCCACATGGTGTTGGGATAGTCAGCTAAAATGCTTAAATACATTTCAGATATAGTAGCTAAAACAAGAATACAATATCAGATTATAGCACAGTATGATTTTTTTTTGTCTTCTTGCTGCTTTGTTTCCTCTCTGCTGTTCCTGTAGGTGACTGGAATAATGCAGCCTCACACCTGGAGCGAAGTGTCATAGCTATTGGTTCCCAGTATGGAGAAGACAGTATTGAACTGGGTCAACAGCTCTTCAAATTAGCTCAGCTACATTTCAATGGGTGAGTGAGTTGTGCAGACAGCGAGGAATTTTGTGGGGGACACTCTGTTTCCCACTGTCTGATTTTTAATGTGTAGTCACAAGTAACTGTCTAAACATGAGACACTTAGTTTAATAAGATGAAAAGCTACACACGAGTCTATAAATTTACAATCTGATAACTTTGACTGCTTCATCATTTTGACTGACATTGTTAGTTAGTAGAAAGTGGTGGCGAGCACCTTCGACCGACCGGGGGCCTTTCTGTGTGGAGTTTGCATGTTCTCTCTGTGCCTGCGTGGGTTGTCTCCAGGTGCTCCAGCTTCCTCCCATAGTCCAAAGACTTGCAGCTTAGGTTGACTGGTGGCTCTAAATTGCCCGTAGGAGTGAGCGTGGGTGTGTGGTGGTTGTTTGTCTATGTATCAGCCCTGTGATAGACTGGCAACCTGTCCAGGGTGGACCCTGCCTCTCGCCCAATGTCAGCTGGGACTGGCTCCAGCCCCCCCACAACCCTATTCAGGAATAAGCAGTATAGATAATGGATGGATTGATGGATGGTAGTAAAAATAACAACTCTGCTCACCTTCTCCCAGTGGTGCCAGAGGCCCGGCCCTCTCTGTCATCCCCAAGGTCAGACGACTCCTCTGCCTCCACCGCGGTCCTTGCTGCCATGAATTACAGGAGCTGCAAGCCATGGAGAACTGCCTTAAAAAAATCACAATATGATTACAGTTTTGCACTCAGCAAAAATGAATAAAAGTGTCAAAATATGTGATTGTGTGCTTTAAGATTTTCTATTACTCTGGACGTGCCATATACACAGGTAGTTTTATACTGTTAAGCATTATAGTGTAAGCATAGTGTTTGAGGTGAAATGCGACCTCAGGTATACATGCAGTTCATTATGACCCTCTGACCTCATTCTGTCACAACGTATCCACCAATAATTTCAATTTCATGCTTCAGTGGTCGTGCAGTGACACCAGGTACTTTAGGTTACATGTATTTCTTTATGCAAAACTGAGGTAAATGTGTGCATGTTTCATGCAATGATGATAGGAATGATTTACACTGTAGCAAGTTAATCAGTCTATAAATTCTACAAATACCCTCAGCTACTACATACACATACAATAATGTGTAGGCACTGTAGCCTTTTGACCTTTAGGGGGCAGCAGTTATTCACTGACAAGTTTCAATTTCATGCTGGAATAGTCAGAAAGCAAGATGGAGCTGTGACACTTGCACATACTGTACAGAACACACCCCTTGTCCTCCAGTGCCTCTATACCTTCAGTTTAAATGTCTATATGAACCAGTCCTATAAAGCATCATGTCAAGGTATTGTGTTTTTTCCCATTACAATCTACGCAAGTGGTATGTTAGGGATAAATGCTAGCGTGCCTGTTAATCACACAAAAAATAAAGGGTCAAAGTTGCCTAGCTGTGCTGTTGGTTTCAGAGAACAGGTAAAGCTCATGTTGAGCAAAGATGGTTAAACTCAATCACAGTCAGAACTCTTGAGGCTTCTGTCAGTTTTACATAACCAGTATCTGAAGGGCAGCCAGTTATTCAGATCTGGAACAGCCATACAGAAATTCAAGGTCAAGACAAAAAAAGCTCAGTTGCAGCAGGTGATGTCAGCTGAATCCCAAAGGCTCCACAGGGCAGGTCCCTGCTGATCATTTTGGTCACGAGGTTGCTGCAGGTCCAGGCCCAAAACAGTAAAGTCATCGAAACTCATCTTAGCTTTGAGTCGAATATCACAGATTCTAGTGTAACTTTGCTCTGTCATAAATTTTTGTGTTGATATCATTCAAAGACAGTTATTTTCATCAACTATTAATCTGCTGATTATTTTCTCAGTTAATTATTTGGCCTATAACAACATCAGAAAACACAGAAAAATGCTCATCACAGTAGAGCCAAGGTAACATCAGTAATGTCTTGTTTTGTTCAACAGTTCAAACCCCAAAATATTCAGATCACAATAAGGCTAAAACATATTTACAATAATGTATTATAATAAGTTTATTTTATTTACCAACTAATTACCAAATCATTGCAATTAGCCAAAATCTGAAACCACCTTCTAAAAAAAAACATGCAGTATAATGTCAAAGGCAAAACTGAGAATCAGTGCTGCAAACAGAAATGTATACCTTCAAAAATTCTTATTTTGTATTATAAATACTGTATATTTGTAACTTTATGTACATTTTTTCGATCCAGTAGACTGATGGTTAAACCATTCCATGTTCAATACATGTTCTTTGCCAAAACTATACCAAATATAGTTCAAGGTGCTGTGCTATAAAGCTAAAGTAGTCATTGATGCAACTTAAACTACAAATGCAGAGCCACAAATAATATTGCCTACATAGACATTGTAAAGTGAAGCTGTACACAATAGGAGATTCATTAATTCAGCTTAACACTCCCAAATGTAGAGCTAGTGATAACATCATAGTAAATTTAGTGAAAGCTACAGTATTTAAATGTTAAAAATCCAATATAACATACATTCTCAGTGATCTTTTTACCAGAGGAATAACATTGATTAGCTTGGTTTCCTTTGTTGTCTTTGTGTTTACATGCCTTGTGTATCTATGGATGTGTAAGCTAAGCCAGGTGTGTTCATCTACCAGTAAGGAGCTGAGGGAGAGAATGTGAGCTTATGTTCAAAAGGAGCCACCTGAGTTAAAAAAAAAAAAAAGCAGGGAGGGACAAGGAAGAAAAAGCAGCACAGCTAGCATGAGAAGCTCTCTAGACCTCTCCTCGCTGCTCCCATATCAGATCACAGGTTTCTTATTTGACTGTCTGGTGCCATTTGAGGCCATTTCCAGTGGCTTATCAGATGTCTTGCTATACATAATGCAGTCAAAACTGGCCAGATGGCAAACAAAAAGCCATCACGTGTATTCTATAAGAAGTCATGCGACAGTATCTGTGACACGGACCGGCAGTGTTACAAACAGCTGGGTTTGCCTGACTCAGCATGTCTCCTGTAAGCTGTTGGTCATCAACATTAGAACCGTCCCTACATGAATTATACACAGCCGTAACCATAACAATAAACTGACCTTCAGTCTGAAGGAGTGGCTCAAATGGTCAAGTGAAAGAGAAGACCAACACACTGACTGTGAAGGCTTCACCTGGTACATGTTTTAAACATTTGGCAATACTATCAGTCAGTGGTGGAACATGTACTCGGATCTTTTCCTTGATCTAAAATACTACAGTGAAGAAAGACACTGCTATTAAAAGTCATCCATTCATGAAAGAAAGTCACTTCCAGCTTTTCCCGTTTTAGGGGTTGCCACAGTGAATCGTCACACTGACAACGCGCATGTTGACATTTGGCATGTGTTTTACGCCGGATGCTCTTCCTGACGCAACCCTGATTCGAACCCGGGTCGCAGCGGCGAGAGCGCTGCCCCTTAACCACTAGCCTACCAGGGATGGCAAAAGTCATCCATTCATAACTTGTCAAAATACAATTTGTACTTACAGTACAAGTAAAAATACTTTTGCAGAAAAGACTCATTTCAAAAAATGTATTATATAATTGGATTATAATTATTGCTGCATTAATATATACATTAATGCAGCCGGTCAAAGTTTTACTACTTTATATACTGCTGGGTAGCATAATTCATAACAATGCATAATTAGTTGTTGACTAATCTGATTCCAAAACACAGCTAAAATTATCAAATGTGGTGGAGTAAAAGGTGAGTTTCCCTCTGAATTGTAGTGGAGTAGAAGTACAAAGTTGCATAAACTGGAAATACTTAAGTTTAGTACAAGTACCTCAGAACTGTACACTAGTACAGCACTTGTGTAAATGTTATTATGTAAATCCTTAGTCATTATTTCATACCATTATTTCATTACAACAGCAACGTGAAACTATCTGCAGAAATATTAGAGCCTGGGAGGCAAAGAAACTGAATTGCTCCAGCATCCTAAATCAAAACTTAAAGTATTCCAGCAATTTTGTACTTCCACTTTTCATTTTGGTGAGATTTTAAAACTTGTCTTTGTGAGCATGTTAGCATGCTCCTATTAGCAGCTGGCTCAAAGCAGTTTCTTGCTTATGTACAACCTCACATAGCTGTCAGCTGACCTTTTCTTCTTGGTGTCAAGTCTCAGGCACAGGAAGGACCCAAATATGCAGACACAAGCCAAAGCTCGATAGGATTTTAATGTAACCAAAAGCAAGAAACAGATACACATACAGGTCTCCATTTATAAGTACTTTATTTTATTTCCTATTGCACATTCCTTCTTTACTTTGTTCTCTCAGACTTGTATTGTTTACTTGCCCTACATAAGGATATGTAAATACATATTGAGAGCTGCTGTACCAGAGTCAAATTCCTCGTGTGTCCAACACACCTGGCCAATAAAGCTGATTCTGATTCTGATACGGGAGCAAAATACAAGGCTCCACCTGACATAGTAAAACAAGAAGTACAAAACTAGGTCAGGGAGCTGGGTACAAAAATGAAAACCAAACCAGTGAGATAAACCAAAGTACTGCTGATTGGAAAAACTCAGACAAAAATGAAACAGATTAAACAAATCAGGAACAAACGAGAGACAGGTACTGAACTTACAAGGCAGAGAAGCAGGAGTAGTGAGCTGAGAGAACAGACAGCAGGGGCAATGAGGGATAGGGACAAAACAAACCAGCAAGAAACTAAGGGGAAGGAAGGAGTATATATAGGCAGGTGAACAGAAGATAACGAGCAGCATGTGGAAACAATGAATGGTGATTGTGAACTGGGGTAAAGCTGGGCCGGTGAGGGGACACAAGACAGGAAGCTAACCAAAATAAAAGCACAAAACAGGAAGCAAGTCCACAAACCATAAAAATTAAAACCTCCATGCCTGGTAAATGCCCAGATCTCCTGCTGCTTCAATAGTTTTGAGTTGCTGTTACTGTTGTTTGGTTTGTTATCACAATATCTTTGTATTTTGGTACTTACAAATGAATCATACCAAGGACCTCCCTTTCACCATTCAGCCATCATTCATGGCATCACTTTTTTCATGCAGACTGTTTTAGAGAGTATCATGTTGACCTTTAGTGGGGTGACTGTGATTCAGTGGGTAGAGCAGTCATCTCCCAACCGGAGAGTTGAAGGTTCGAATCTCGGTGCCTACAGTCCACGTGCCAAAGTGTCCTTGGGCAAGACACTGAACCTTCAAGTTGCCATCAGTTGAGTTGGCCGCCTTGGTTCTGTACCAGAAACAAATTCCTTGTGTGTGACATACTTGGCCAAATAAAGGTGATTATTGGACAAAATATCCCATCTTTCCATTTTCCTCCCACCTGGATAGTTACATGAGTCCTGACCCCCTGAAGCTCTCATGCTCTCCATCAGCCTTAAAGCAGGTTTGTTCCTTCAGTCAGTCTCCTATAGTCTATCTTTCAGTTCCTCCCTTCACACCAGACATCTAATACATGATGCAGATGATGGTAATGTGCCTAGTACTCATGCAAAAATCAAATCCCCATCACTTTCTCACACAGGCATGGTTATTACCAACTATTATGCAAATTAATGAGAGTAAATCATAGTCACTGAAGATTGTTATTCTCAAATTCTTTTGGAGTAAAAATAGAAACTTTTTTTGCTTGCACTTGCAGGCTACAATTTCAGCATCCGCATCAGGGTTAGAAAGACAAAAAGGGCTTGTGGGTTGAGAATCATGAGCCATGTCTTTGAGGGCTGGTGTAATTTCAGCTGCGGAGAG